CTTTTTTTTTTTTTTTTTTTTTTTTAATTAAAGGTGGCTATCCCCTGAAAGCCAGCATGAAGCCAAAACACAGGCTCAGGCAAAACACCCACATCTGTGCAGAAGTGAAGTGTACTTCTGGTGCCCAAAAGAAATTATCTTTAAAAAAGAAAGAAAGAAATCTTATGATCTTTTGTAAAGAAGAGATTCTTTTCCAGGCTATGAGCCAGTGTTAATTATTGTGATGACTTGTGAGTAGATATAAGTCACTTTTACCAAACCCTCTTTTAAATTTGAATCTCTATTTGTCAGTATTTTAAAATTGGTAGTCCAGGTGTTTAAAGTAAGATGGAGTAGGAGAAAAATCCTGTTGAAAGGATAAATTAAAAATGTAAACCCAGGCCAGGAATTTAGCTCAGTGGTTCCACCACCTGCCTTGCAAGTGGAAGAACCCGAGTTCGATCCCCAGTACCAAAAAAAAAAAAAGTGTGAACCCTCTACTTTCTGTACTTGTAAACTACTGTGATATATTTTTTTTTCCTACTCTCTCCCGAGGTATTGGGGATTGAATGCAGGGCTTCTTGCATGCTGGGCAAGCATTATACCACTGAGCAACGTCTCCAGCCCTATTTTTATTACCATCTTTGGCTTTTCTTAATTTGCTGTTAAACTTATTTTGCACATAGTGTTTACAGATCTTACACATCTAATTCTGACAGAATATTGCTGACCAACCCCTGTTGAATACATTGTGGTCTTGTGACAGTTGTTTCTGCCCTTCTTTGGGAATTTTCCTTTTGTGTGTGTGTGTGTGTGCGCCTGCCCCCCACTCTGTTCCCTGGAGCTCTACAGGCAGTATTCCTATATGTTGTTCGACATGGATGTGGCTCTTTAGAATGGCCTCTTTGCTCTTTTATTGAAGTGCTGCCTACCCAGATTCTTGATAGGCCAGTGCCATTGATTTTTTTGTGTGTGTGTGTGACAGGGTCTTACTGTGTAGTTGAGACTGACCTGGAACTCAACTGTATAGCCTAGGCTGGTCTCAAACTCACAGCGATCCTCTTGCCTCAGCCTCCCAAGTGCTGGGATTACAGGTGTGTGCCACCACGCCTGGCTTGTGCCATTGAGATATTGGTCTTCAGTTTCATCTGATGAAGCTAAACTTTTTTTTTTTTTATGGTACCAGGGATTGAACTCGGGCCCTTGTGCTTTCAAGGCAGGTGCCGGAACCACTGAGCTAAATCCCTGGCCCTGAAGCTTAACTTTTAAGTAAGAGTGTTAGTCAAGGAGCTTCTAACCTCTAGGAGAGACCTTGGAGAGGCACTCTTTCTCTCCATTATTGGTTAACAGATGTCTTTGGGCTCTTGATTTTACCATCTCATTTGGTCTGGCTCCTGATGTATAGTTTCACATAACTGCTGAGTGGGTCTGATAGTATTGTGATTAAGTCTGTCCACAGAAGCATTACCTGATCTGGAGGTTTGATATTCTAAGCAAAGCTGTTAGGCTTTGTGCATTTGTTTTTTTTTTTTTTTTTTTTTTTTTTGGTACTGGGGACCGAACTTGGGTCCTTGTGCTTGCAAGGTAGGCGGTGGAACTACTGAGCTAAATCCCCAGCCCCAATCTGTCTTAATGGATGTCTTAAGAGTTTGTAGTCTCTCTTTACAGTTTTAGACATCGTGTCTTGGAAGTTTCGCAGTCTGGCATTCATCATGCTGCTGCTATTTTACTCTGTGTGAAGGTTGTTCAAAGTTGCTATAGCCTCTACCTGGTTTTGTCATTTCATCAGCCCCATCTTTGTATGTAAGTAACTGTCTTAAGCATTATTCCCTGCTTTAGAAACTGACTTGTGACAAGTTTGGTCATTCAAGCCTTCAATAAATTTGGATAGATGCCTCTAAGTGTTTAATGTTTTATCCAAGGATTCTCTTTTCCTTGGACATTTTGTTTAGATTCTGGAACTAGAATGTAATGGAAAAATTCCATTTGAAGGCAGTAGTCAAAATCTGTTCTTTCAGTTGGCATAACTGGCATTTACTTCATGGTCACTTCTCCAGGCTGCCCTAAATTAGCCTGCTGGAGTGAGACATGCCAGACACCCACCATTGGGACCAAAGTATAGTTAAAATTAAATGTAGCTGGAGTAGCTAGCATTACAGCTGTCTTAATTCCTCACAGATTACCCAAGGGGTGAAGGGACATTTTGCTTCAGTGAAAATCTATGACTTATGTTGCTGCCTTCCTGGTACAGGAAGGTTTAAATGGAATGTGTGATGTGAGGGTTGCCTTTGCCAAATCAGATGAGTGACAGGTTAACTAGACAGTGTGACAATCACATTTCCTGTTAGCTCAAATAATTCTGTTTTTCTAAAGCTTTAGCAGCTTAATTAAATCTGTTGGACTGGGGGAGGAGAGAACTGTTTTGTAGTGGTTAACATGGTATTCTTCAAGAAGAAAAAACAAAGCCAAAGAAAACTCATTATCTGGCATGTTTGCCTTAAAATGGTAGTGGGTAGAATCTGGAGTTTTAACCTCTTTTCAAAGCTGCGTATCTCACATTTGGTGTGGGCCTCTATGTCTAGTATTTCAGGTGGAATTCTAACTTTTTAAATTTGAGTAAGGGTTTTGTGCATTTAACTTCCTACCAAGCTTTCTTCATTCATAATGACATTCTTACCATAGGGGTCTTGACAAAACAGAGTAAAATGTGCTGTGTAAATAGTTTATCTGTGATAAAGGCACCTGAAAGAACCTATATTTTTTACATCTAATACAGACCCTGATTTACTTGCATTGTTGTCAGGATCAATTATAAAATTGAAGTTTGGTGCCTCCTCTTTATCATGTTTTTTCCCTTGTAGCAGTTGTGTTTAATGTCATTAAAAAGAAATAAAAGTTCTTGTCAGTGGCATATGTGCTGTAGCCGTCTGTTTCAGGGTTCGGAGGAGGGTTATTTGCCTTCCTCTTTTGCGTAGGTAGGTTGGTGGGATATGGGAGGGGGGTGGCATTTAGTAGAATATGGTTCTGGGAAGGCGAGGGTGCTTGCTCCCTATTCTTTTGAGGGTAAATTACAGTGTTGAGGAAGGCGTTCCAGCAGTTAAAAAATTCTGAAATTGATTGGGATTTGCAGCTACATATGGTGCATGTCAGGAGCCTAACATAGGCAGCGCCTGAAATATCACTGTGCTCCTATTTTTGCAGAGGGGGAAGATGGCTCAGCCCTTCTCAGGCAGTCATTGCCTTGCATTCCTTCGCGAGTCTTTGTGGCTGGCCACTGTGTCTGCTTCCCAGAGCTAGCACTGATTAAGAGGCTGTACTATTTCTGGGCATTCTCCCTTTGAGGATGCAAGAACCCAGAATTGATAGTACTATACAAAATTGATGGCTGTTTCAGAAACTGCCGCTTCAAGAACCTAGGGTGGAAGTTGGCTAAGTGTGGGTAGATGTGGGAGAGTGTTCCTTAGATTCCTTTTATGAACCTAAATTCTTAGACTTGCCCCCAGGAGCAAAGATAAAAGGATAGGCAATAATAGCTTGTCACCTATATTAAGCCAGTGCCTTTAAAAATCTCAATTCATGCTGAGGAAATAGGTAGCAACATACTTGTTTTTGTTTGTTTTGTTTTGGTACTGGCGATCGAACTTGGGTCCTTGCACTTGCAAGGCAGGCGCCAGAACCACTGAGCTAAATCCCCAGCCTGGTAGCAACATATTTGACCAAGCTTACTGGCCTGCTGTTCTGAAAGTATTGTTAAGTATATATATCCTAGACAAAAATTATTTTTCAATTCCAGGCATAAGGCTCATTGTAAATGTGCTGAGTACTCTTGTCCCAGTCTGAGATACTCTTACACATACCCATTTTGTTCCTGCCAGGTGTTGATGATCATCTCTTTGGTAATTATTTCCTTTTTATCAATGTGTTACTACTGTAGGCATCAAAGATTTTCAGAGACCAGGCTGAATTCTCTGAAATGATAGTGTCCCCTACCCTCGGTTCCTTTTATGTTATGGGAAAATGAGATGAAAGGGGAAAATGAGATGAAAGGGGAAAAATGGGCCTTCTTTAAAAGGAATGAGGCTCATTCTCTCACAAGGCCATTTTGAGCTTTTATAGGAAAAGAAAACCACCTAAAACTAGAAAGCAGAGTTTCCTGTTTCTCTTTGTGTTGTACTGCTTTTCTTAGAGAAAACAATTATCCCTAAGCTGAGTCTAGGGTATGCTTGGTTTGTCTGCCAGAACACCTGTCAGGAAAAAATTCCCACTTGTCACAGGAAGTGTCAGCTGGTTACTGGAATGCCTTAATGAACAAACTATTGCCTTATCATTCCTACCCTCTATTCTTCCCTTATAACTGGAACATGCCATAGACAGACAATCTGGTCCTTCCCAGTACCCACTGAGGAGGAGACGGAATGTGATTGGGGATGGAGGGTGGTATTAGGGAGCGAACCCCGGGAGCACTGAGTTACAACCCCAGTCCATTTTATTTTATTTGAATCACTGTCTCATTAAGTTACCCAGACTAACCTTGAACTTGCAATCTTCCTGCCTCAGCAATCTTCCAAATAGTGGGCGTTATAGGTGTGTGTCACCTTGTCCCTGGTTTAGAATGTGATCTTTTGGATCACATTAACTAAGTCTAAATGATAGCCCTGAAATTTATCAAAAGATCATTTGTATACAAAGGTCTTCAATTTAGTTCCAAGCCACATTTATGGATTTTTTAAAAAGCTGGTATAGCTGGAATTGAGGCAGGCAGAATGTCCCATTTATAGAAGCAATTTGTTCTTGGAGGCTACTTCTTAAAAACCAAGATCCAAAAATTGTCAAATAGGTTTAAAGAACGTAGAAGTCTAAAATATAATGGATTGGTGAGATATTACATATTGCTGTAAAAGGGTAGATTAGAGATCTTTAAAAATGGATTCTAGAAGAGGCCTGTACTGAGAAGTTTGGGGCTGTGGAGACAAGATTAGGAGGAGAAAAAGAATCCTGCCCCACAGAAATAGCTACCAGTCTGTCCTCCTCCCCTCAAACCCCTCTTATTTCTAGGGTACCCCTTGACCCATACTCCAGGAAGTGGGTGACTCTGGTTATCCTCTCTTCTAACCCTTTTTTGGTAGAAAGGAAAGGAAGGCCAGCCTCAGGGAAGTGACAGGTGTTAAGGAGATACCAGCAAAGTCTCCTGCCTCTCAGTCCAGCATTCCTCCTGCAGGCTTGTTTGCCTGGTCTCAGGTTGCCTGTGCCCTTCCCAAGTTGTGAGCAATCTCTGCAGATCCATGTGAGCTGGTGAAAGCACCACGAAATAAATCATAGCTGCAGGGTTTGAATTTGCAAATAGTTGTTTTTGGAGACAATAAAGGAATGGAGTTTTATCTAAATTAGGACTGTGATTTGCTCCTCTTAAAATGCAGTCAAATGAAATTGAAGACAGGAAACCCCCAATTAGCACAATTCCCCAAGCCCCACTGAGAACTACCTCTACCTAATCCCGGCTTGAGGGCTTCTCCATCCTGGGCCTAGGAAGTACCCTCTCGAGGTTTGGCTTAGAGTTCTGTGTGCTCCTCAGCTTATTGTTTTCCCTTCACTTCCAGAACTTCTGAATAGCCTATTCTAATCCTTGTTCATCTGACATTTTCTATCCAAGGCCTTCCTGGCCCAGGATAAGAATGTTTGAGGTGCCCCATTTACTGGTTTGCTCACTGGCTAATGGCATCATTGCTCTCTGCCTTTTAGCTTGCTGTTAAGATCGTCGTGATGCTCTTTAACAGCCCAGAACTGTGGCTCTGAATACTTAACAGCCTTAGCAGATCCTTTTAACTCCTTCCTTACTGGGGTGGGGGGGATTGCACTTCTTTGGGCAGGGAAAGCTTGCAACCCATCCAGAGGGGGAAACCCTTTGTTTTTCAAAACAGCACCAGCCTGCATACCTATGCAGTGAGACAGCCCAAGCTGGGTTTGGGAGAGCCTCAGAAAGAGGATGATAGAACAGCTATTTTCTTCTTCTACACGTGCACCCCCATATGTTTGAGAATTCCCTTCCAACTCCAGCTTGGCTGGCAGGCATGTCCCTAAGAAACTGCAGGCCAAAATGGAAGAGAGAACTGATTCCCTCCTCCACACATCCTGACTTACTGCCAATTGCCAGAAAAAGAGGGCAACATTTGGGCATTTACCAGAAGACAAGGATGTGCCTTTTCATTTGTCTTTTTATTTTACATTTAAAAAGTGGTTATTGCTCTAACTGGGTAAGAGGTAAGGACCTCTCCCTTAAGGAGCCTTGGCCTCACAGCCCCATTCAGCAGGGATAGAAGTCACAAGACAAGGAGTGGAGCCTCATGCCCTCCCATGAGGAAGCCCTTTGTATTGCTGACATCCGCCTTGTACCCTGTCTCTCCTCCCCTGTGCTGCCACTCTTGGCTGAAGCAGAGAGCTCTTAAAGACTGGAAGGAAGGGGTGGTCACTGGGTGATGGCTTTCAGCTCTCTCTCTTTTTTTTGGTACCGGGTATCAATCTCTGGTCCTTGAGCTTGTGAGGCGGGCAGTGGCACCACTGAGCTAAATCTCCAGCCCTCAGCTCTCTGTCTCGAGGACCAGTGCTCTTAATATTCAGCACAACAAATATTTACCAAGTGCCTATTGTGTATCGGGCTTGTGCTAGGCACATCTTCCACCCTCCCCTTCCTGGCCAACAGTGGAAGACACAGAGTCCACCTCTTCCCATGCAGGCATTTGGCAGCTGTAACACATCAATCCCAGGGAAGAGTCTGCCTTCCCTCATCAAGCACCATTGATTGTTTGATTTTAACCAGAAAGGGGCAGTGGAGAGACCTGATACCTCATACCACTCAAGCTCTTGGGAAGGACAAGAGGACTCTGGGTAACTGTCACAAAATCCTGATGAGATGGTAAGATACGGTAAGATATGAAGACCCTAGTTAGTTGTGACAGCCAGGCTGCTCTGCCTGTCTGTGGTGAATGGCTCAGGCCTGCCTTCCAGCGGCTTCCACTCCACAGTGGGTGGGTCAGCAGTCTCCAGGATATAAAATGTAGATGTGTCTTTTCAGTTGCTCCAGCTGGCACTGCTCAAACGCCAAGAGATGCTTCCTTAGAAAACAGGGCCAGTACCTTCCAGGTCGTCTTAAAACCCCAGACTGATGATCTTACCATCAAAGTAAATGTCAAAGAAGATAGGGAAGGTACAGGCAACCAGCTCTGGTCCTGGGAGAATCCTCTGCCCTCTGGAATGGAGCCCTCCAGTTTCGTTTTTCAAAAGAGACAAAACAGGCAACATCTTACTCACAAAGATGAGTATCATATCACAAACAAGTCTTTGATGGCTACATCCAGAAAAGGCTTGATGGCAGCCATGACCCTGCACAGCAGGCAGCTCCACAGCATCCTCCTTCAATGCTCCCTGGTCTAAAAGACACAGCATGAGTCAATCTTAGTGCTTGTCATTTCCCAGAGTATTGTGCGTTTTCTCAAAGAGGAAGCCAGTCCAGGAGAGGTGAGGCAGAAGGCTGTTCCATGCAGCATTGCCTTTTCCAAGGATGGGGCTAGGCCTTTTAGTTTTGTGGCTTATTATTATTTTTTGCAGTATTTGGGTTTGTAGTCAGCCTCTTTCATCAGACTAAGACAGACGGAAGAAGGAGAACTCCAGCTAGCTGTGCCTCCTCCCCTGCTGCAGTTGACCCTCTCCCTGTGCCCAGGACCTGGGGACCAGCAGAGAAGAAAAATGAAATCCTCCTCCCTTCAGACAGGCAGTCACGCTTCGATGATGTTCACTGAGAGCTTGTTTGGAAACTGGGAGGAAAGAAACGAGAGAAGTGGCCAAAGCTAAATGAATAGGCTTCTTGGAAAGTGGGAAACAGCACAGAAGGAAGAAAGGAGCCAGGAGGGCTGCAGCCTAAAAGCCAGGCTCTTGTCCCTTGTGGAAAGAAAAGCAGCCCTGCCTGGAGGTCTTGTCTGTCTGCCTTTTCCAACTCAGCCTTCGGCCTCACTCAGCTGAATGGCCAAAACAGTCCTGGGCTCAGAGCCCTGGCACCCACTCTACCACCGGCAGTCACTTCTCTCACTGGTTTGCTTATATCCTGCACATCTGCCTGCGGGCACAGCCTCAGCCACTGGCATTGAGGTGCTTCTGGAAGTAGGGGTTAATAAGAGGCTTCAGGAAAAGGTGCCAGAAAGAGAGAAGCCAAGAGAGAGGACAGTAAGCCAGAGGGTATAAGATGGAAAGAGAAGATGCAGAGAGGGCCAGATGTTTGTTGGAGAATCATCGTCAGAATCATGAGATCCTCTCATTCTGTACTGTCTTTCTTCTGAGCTGCTCAGAGCAAGCACTGAAAGGATGTCATATCTGTTTCACAGAAGAGGAAATGAAAGTACAGAGGTGAAGCGCCTGCCCAAGGCACACAACACAGCCTGAGCACAAATGAGCCCCAGCACCCCCTACTCTTGCTGCCCCACACCAACCAAAAATTCTGCCCTGCCCATTCTGCCTTTTTTCGTTTTTAAGTCAGGACTGGCCCTTGGCACCCTGCAGAGGGAGAGAATCCAAACTCCACTTGCAGTGTCCCCGGTGTCACACAGGCAACAGCCAAATTGGGCTCTGCCCAGATACAAGCATGCCAGGCCCTGAGCTGACCCCTTCTGCAGGCCAGGGCTACAGTGCACAAGGCGTGGGACCGACAGCCAGCCTAGGTCTTGCCCTCACCTTGCTGCGGAGGAGCCCCCCGCCCTGGTGCTCAGGAGTGCTGGTTTCAGATGCACTCTTAGTTTTCTCCTTGTTGTTATTGGGCTCGTTGTCCTTAATAATGTCATACTGGCGGCAGAAGAGGGCAATGACACCTGGGAGGACAAGTAGGGGCAGTCAGAGGCCAGCGCCTGAGTTCTTGCCTGGCTTTCTTCATTCCTACCGGCGCTTGCTAATGGTCTCTTCTCTCCAGATGGTCTCCCCTGCACGACTTCAGCAGCCTCCCTCCGGCCTCTGGTTTCTGTTCCACCTGTCCCCTCACCAGCATGCACTTCCTACAGCATGCACCGATCATGTCTCCTCCCCACCTTGCCTTTAAACCTCTTGACAGCTCCCCTTTTCCTTTAGGGGAAAATAGAAACAATAACAGCATTTGTTGAGCACATGCCAGGCCTTGTGCTCAGTTGTCACAACTCAATCAGTGCACTTTTCCCCAGGTTACAAGTGAGGACACTGGTACAGAGAGAGCTGAACTAACTTTACTTAAGGTTACACTGCAGTATAGCAGGGAGCCGAGCTCCTGGGCCAGCAAGGCCTGGTAAATGTCTAGTTTTATTAAGCTAGTAGGATGCAGGCATCATACTTTTTTTTTAGTTTATTAGGTATTTTTTGGGGGGCGCATCGTATCTTTTGAGTCAGTATTAAGGCAGCCACTGCAGTTCTTGTAGATGTTTTCCCTCTATGTTTACAGTGTTATTTCTTGATCTATTTTAGAAATCTGCTGACTTCCCACCGTGGCAGGTAAAACCCAACAACACCCCTACTTCTCCCTCCATTAGTCTAACAGAATTACACTACAATTTTGGTTTAATTCACTGTTTATATTGTTATGATGGTGTCAATACTGTCTGTGCCAAGTCTAACAATGTGCTGGGAGCAACCCTTCTCTTTTATACAGCCCTTTGTTTTTCCTGTTTTTCAAAGTGCCTGTTTTTCATATGCCTCTGGAACATTTTTTTCCAAAGGCTTTAACCGAGTCTGCCCTCTCAACCACTGTGTTAATCAGACGTTAGTGTAGTATTCATATTCCAAAGGCTGCAGTCCATAGTCTCACCAATCTTTACTCCCCCACCCTCCACCTTCTTTTATAGGTCCTAGCTGCACTGGGCCAGACTGAGCTTACTTTGTTTCTTGAACACACCACATCCAGAATACCCTTCCTCTTTTGGACACCTGGTGAGCCCCTATTGATGGCTTCAAGTCTCCATTCCCATGTTACCTCCACTGTTTTACTTCTTAGCTCTACAATTAATTCCCGCTCTTCTGCTCCCATATTTGGTACTATTATAGTGCTCATCACACCAAATTATACAGAGGTGTTGGCCTGTCTCCTTTTAGAATGAGTTCATGACTATCACACAACTGCTTGGAATAATGGAGTGGCTGATCAGTGAATAGCCAGCTGAACTGAGTACAAAGATGAAGGACATTAGGACATTATCCTTAGGGAGCTCACAGACTAGTTGGAAAAGACAGCCCTGAGCCTGACTAACTCACATAAGAAGGAGCAACTCTAGCGCTGCAAAAGCACTGAGGCAGGAGGGCCATTCCAATGAGTGGATGGGGGTTTCCAGGGTGGCAGGCTCAGAGCTGGCCTAGAAGGACGGGTAGGCCAGGCAGTGACTTCCCCAGAGCTACCCAGGACTGAAGCCTAAAAGTCTATAAACCCTGCCATGAGCAGAAGGTACAGGGTCTGTGGATGCGTCCACCCCAGGAGGCTGAACTGCTTTTGAGGGAGGAGAAAGGTGAGTTCCTCTATAATTCTATTAGGCAACTAGTAATCTGCTGTTTTTGGTGAGGTATGGGCTGTAGAAGCGGTCAGACTGGACCCTCAGAGCGGTATTGACTCAGAAACTTTTTACTTCTCTTAAATATCTTCAAGCCCCTTACCCTTAGTTACTGTGAGAGAAGAACCTGGTCAGGGTCCCCAGGTCCCCCCAAAGTAGTTAGAGAAGGACTCAAAGGCCGGACTCACCTGCCCACATGAACAGGACCACAACGATGATCAGCACCTCACCTGTCCGCAGCTGTTGGTTCCTCCCCATCTCCTTCATGGTCACCTCATCTATGGAGAAAGAGACACTAAGCCAGGGCTCCTTTCCTCTCCCAGTCATTCTAGGGCTAAGCCCACAACAATAAACGCTTATCTCTGTAGGTGCCCACACACCTATCACAAAGAGACGCCAGCACATATGGATGGTTACCTGGGGTGGCCGCTACAGGATTCAATCTAAAGGTGAGAATTTACATACCAAGTGTCCTAGGGCACTAACCTTGCTCTCAGGTGCTTTACTTAGTTGTGGGGAGGACAGGGGAAGAAATATTCTCATCCCCACACTGCTCTGGCTTTAACTGCTCCCACCCTGCTCCTCCAACATGCCCAGGGCCTGCCTTTGTTTTTGGAGCCCATTTTCTCGGCCTCGCGTGGGGTCTTGAAGAGCACCGGCTCACTAGCTGGGCTCTGTCCCTGAATGGAGATGGCCTGCACATGAACGATGTACTCCGTGTCCTCCTCCAGGTCCCAGAGGGCGCATGAGCGGGTGGTGGTGTTCACTTCCTGGATGAAGCGCAGCATCCTCACGTCCTTCTTCTGTGAAGGTGAGTGCCAGATACGTGTCAGAGCCCAGGCACCTTCCAAGAGCAACAAACCCTTCTTCACCTGCATAATCATCCTGCACAATCATCTCACACAATCACCTGCACAGTCATCATAATCTCCATTGTACAGCTAAGGAAACAGGTTCAGAGAGGTTAGGGAAGTTGCCCAAGGCACATATCTAGTGAGAACTGGAGCCAGGTCCTAAACGCTGGTGTCTGTCTGAGCTGTCCCAGCTGACAGCTCCTGTTCCCTCCACAACTGACTGAGGCCTTTCTGAGGCCCCAGTTTCAAGCCATATGTGCAGTTTGCTGCCCATCCGTCTTGCTCTGTGTTACTCTTTCCCATTTTTGTGACACAGCCATCCTTCACCCAGTCTGACACTGTCTCAATTTGTCCTTCCCTCCCAGGGACCCTAAGGGGTTACCTGCTGAGAGATGGCAAATCCAATGACAACCTCATCTTCTAGGACATCCCAGCTGACCACTGCAGAGTTGGCCTTGAGGTGCCTGACGGTGACGTTCACTGGGGCTGAGGGGCTGTCTGTGGGGCAGGCAGGCACCAGAGCTTGAGCATCCTCTGTGGTGAGCCCACCCAACTGTCTCATAAGTGAGAAAGGGAAGCCTGGGGAAGGTCATGCTTTGTGGGAGTTGGGGGAGAGCAAGGTCTCAACTGCGGTTGACCACATGGCTGTCAGTTCCTGAGTGGTTTGAGCACCCTCAGGCTCCTTGTGTCCAGGGTGCAAGCCCCTGTGGGCCATAGGCCAGCCTGAGGGGTCCAAGGCTAGAACCGATGAGCTTGGGCCAGAGCCAGACCTAATGGATGGGTGGTTAGAGTTCAGGGGGACAGGTGTGGAGGGGACATAAGTGACTAGTCACAGAACTGAGTTTGACAAAAGCAGTCAAAGGATTCCCAGTCCACTGTTGTTTTTATAATCCTGTACTGTCAAGTGAGTGACCTTGAGAAAAGGAGAAAGACCCAGAGGTCAAGGAGGGCCAGGCTGGGGTGAACCCTGGGGTGGGAGTGAGGGGCAGTGGAGGAAGGAACTCCCAGCTTAGGGAGGGGTCTATGTGAGCCTCTTCTGTACATCTGCCAGCCCTACCGGGCCAGTCAAGAAGAGAGTAGGGAGGGAGCATTACTGGGAACGGGGGTCAGGCAGGGAGAACATTCCAGAGAGGAGAGTGGAGTGACACAGGCCTGTCTCCCAAGGGACAGATGCTGCAAGGGGAAAGACTTGGGCCCCAGCAGGAATCTCTCAGCTCTCAAAGAAACTTAAGACCAGAGGCTGGGCCAGACATGGAGGTGGAGGAGACAGAAGGACACAGACAGCTGGCGGCAGTCACAGAACCAGAGAGGGAAGTACAGGGTTAGAGGTAGACCACAGAGACAGAAGCCTAGCAAGAGTGCCAAGCCACAGAGATAGATGAGTACAGGAGAGACAGTGAGGCAGCTGCAGCCAGAAGGGACACAGGCAGATGTCAGGAGGGTCTGGGCCCCACGGAGTGGGCCAGACACGGACTGCACCAGGCTCCGAGGCTGCCCCCACCCACTCTGCACCCTCAGGAGCCAGTCTCCACCCCTTCACACGCGCTTCTGCATAACAGATGTGCAGAGTTGGCCTGTGGAGCTTCAGAGGTCTCTGGGGACAGAAGGGGAGGCCCAAGGTGGGGGGGAACTGATGTCCTCAGCTGCTCTCTGGACCAGAAAAGGGGACTATGGAACCTAAGGGAGAAATCTGGGGTGAAAGGATGGGATTACAAACTGGGGACCACAAAACCCTAAAAACCCAGGGCTGAGGTCATGCAAGGGGTTTGGAAGCTGAAGGACAAGTCTGGGGGTCAAGAAGGTAGGGGAGCTCTAGGGTCGGGTCAGGGGAGCAGTGAGCAGCAGAGAGGAGGTCCCCAGGGAGCAGGGAGGGAAAGGAGGTCTTCCGGGTTGCAGGGGCGGGAGAGGAGGCTGCCCCGGAGC